AACCCTATTCTAATCATTAAGGTCTCCAAATCAGCAACTTGGGATTCAGAAGTTTAGGGCTTTTGGCTCTGGCCGAGGGTTGAAGCATGGTGCCACCGCAGTAGGGTTTAGGGTTTAGGTAAGGACGGGCAGCAACTCCAGGGTTGCACGGTTCAGGGATCCCGGGTTTTTTTTCAATCAACAGAAGTGGCAGAGACCGTCCTTGTTCTACACGGATTTGGGTAATGTAGTTCCCTTTATAAGTATAGTCTAATATACACCCACACCCTACTCTACTCATTGAGGCCCCCTACATTATAAACCTTCCGAAGCCAGGGTCGTTCTCATGTGTTCTTAGCAGCACCCAAGCGGCATGTCCCTGCCGCCAACACCACGAGGAGCCTCCAGGATCGGAAAAATGTAGGATACTCTCGTATGCTTCATATAATATCTCAGGTTTTTATCCCTGGTATCCCATATAACAGATCTTGATACGACTTGTGATGAAGCTTTACCAGTTTCTATACTTCCAACTTGTCTAAACGAACGGGAGCCTTTTGCAGTCGGGATCGTGTAATTATTCGGGCCTTGGCAGCTTCGGGATTGCTACTGTTGATGGACAAAATTCTNNCCATAAATCCCATACTTTAGGTATATAAGGTCATGCAGGATTTTGTCCTTCAGCCGTATGGTGTCGGGTTTAGGGACTAGGGTCACGGCTTCACCGCCAAGTTGCTAACATTCCCTTCACCACAAAATCATGACATATGGCGGTTTCCGAAAATAGGGGACGTATCTCTACGAGCGGTGCCCTTGGCGGTGTTAGCCCAAAGCTCCCGACTCTCTTCATTCCTCCGCATGTGCGAAACCGTGCCGTCTCTTCTCGTTCGAAACCCTCAGCCTCTCCACCCTAAAGCCTGTACCCCTAAACCCTAAACCCTAAAACCCTAAAGCCTGTACCGATACACTATACCCTGGACCCTAAAAGTCCATGGCAAGAGGGGACGCTGGATTCGCGGATGTTGTACTTGGAGGTTCGTGGGTAGTTATAAGTGGGGTTAGAAGTCCCCTAATATGGGTTATAAGCATAGTTACCCTACTTGTAACCCCAGTTATAACTACCCATGAACCTCCAAGTATCTCTAACCATTAGCATCAGAATAGCCCAAAAGCCTTATAAAATAGCGTCTTTGGGCCCAAAAGCCTTAAAATATGAGTCCTTTGAGGGTATCTCTAAGGATAGTTTAATGTTTGGCTCTTCGGGCCAATGTCAGGCTGGGGCCTGACGTGTTTGAGATTGCGTGGAGGACCAGGGGACGTAGTACGTAAGGTTACAAGTACCCTACCCTAAGGGTCCATGTACCCAAATAGTATATACTTTGGCCGCAAAGTACCTTTATGGGGACTACGTACTTTAAGGCTAAAGTATATACTATTTGGGTACATGGACCCTTAGGACTAATTATTTTGGGGCTACATGTAATTATAACTATAGTTAAGCTATGTGTAACCCTAGTTACCAAGTCCCATGATCCTCTAAATACATCTACTGCGAGGCAGAAGACAGGAGTTCACCAAGAATTACGACCAGGAGCTCTACAGAATAATATGAACCCTAAACCCTAAACCCTAAACCCTAAACCCTAAACCCTAAACCCTAAACCCTAAACCCTAAACCCTAAATCCTATTGATTTGTTCAGGCTTCATTACCAAAACCCAAACCCTCGACACTGAAAACCCTACCAGCAAAATCCACAAAAAAGAAGCCCTACTATAGAAGCCCAAAATAAGTACCAATTCTAGTTTGGGGGGGTCCTTATTATAGTTATAGTATAATATAGCCCAGAAGCCTATTCTAATTATTACGGCGTCTATATTACGACAACCATCCAGCTAGGATGCCTGGTAGAGTTCCTTGCAGAGAGCATCCAGAGCTTCAGGCTTTGACGACGGAGAAATCCGGAGAAGTGATTTGGCCACCGTCGCGAGATCTTGCCTTGGCTGTAAGGCTCAAGGGTTTACGGGCTAGGGGTGTCAGGGTCTGGGGTGTAGGGTTTATCTAAGGGGAACCCCTAAACCCCTAAACCCGAAGCCCTGTTTACACAGTCTAAGGGTTTTCGCAAGCGGTCTCTGCCGACGATCCGAGCGAGATGCACGCAAGGATCCCCGGAACTATGGGCTTCGGGCTTAAGGGTTTCATGGTTTAGGGCCGAAGGTTTGAGGTTTAGGGTTTAAGATTTATATAGGGTTTAGGATTTAAGATTTAGGGTTTAGGGTTTAGGGTGCAGGGTTTAGGGTTTAGGGTGTAGGGTTTAGGGTTGAGGGTGTAGGGTTTAGGGTTGAGGAGTTAAGGGTTTAGGGTTTAGGATTTGGTGTTTAGGGTTGCAGTGGCCTCAGCAGTTAGCATAGAGTTTTGGGGGATCTTATACTATTGTTTGTAACAAGGAACCCTACGGAATAGTCTTAAGGGGCTTCGTTTTGAAGTTGGGCTCGGCTCGTCATTAATAGATGGCGCAGGGTTTAGGGCCCAGGGTTTAGAGCCGTACCCTACCCCTACAGAAAACTACTGCACCCCATAAAGCCTATACAGCAGGTTTAGCGTTTAGGGTTTATGCACTCGGGCTTTTCCTGGGACTTCAGGTTTTGCATACAAAGGCTCAAAAGGGTTTTGGGTTTGCTATTGGTTTCAAGCTGTGGGTCCTAAATCCTAAACATTCATAAAACCTAAACCCCTAAACCCTAAAGAGTTTAGGGTTCAGGGTTCCAGCTAGCCTAGGGCTATGGCCTTGACCCTAAACCCTAACCCTAAACCGTAACTAAACCCTGAGACCGCAACCCTAAACGGTCTTAAGGCTTGATGGCTTTAGGCTATTCGGATCTTCCAAGTCTCTGGGGCTCCTTCATTGAGCAACTAGTTTAGGGCTGAGAGATACCATCAAGGACAGGAAACGACTTCACCCTGAAACCCAAACCAAATCTACTCAACTCTAAACCCCAAGCCCGAAAGCCCTTGAAAGAACTCAGAAAGGGCCCTTGTGCTCATGCCCTAAACCCTGAACCCTAAACCCAAAGGCCAAGTCTCCCATGCAGATGGCGGAGGGCTGCTAACATAGCCTGCGCCAAGGTATCCTCCGGTCCTGGAAGACGAGTTTACCCCAAGGGTCCGCAGGGTGTTGGTAGGGATTTAGAACTAACATGGGTTTAGGGTTTAGAGTTTAGGGTTTAGGGTTGTTTCTATAATTCGTCTTCCCTGAGTTAGTTTCACACTACTCAGTTACCATTTGGGTAGTTGTCAAAATTATGGTCCCTTTTGGGGTACCCTAAATAATAGGTGCCGTATTATAATAAGGACCCAAAAAGGGACCATAATTTTGACAACCACCCATTTCTTTCCAAGGCTTCTGCTCCTGGCACCAGCTCCGCCACCCAGGCACTGGCGCGCGCCTGGACCCAGCTTGGCTGGGCCGGATCCAGGTAGCCGACAA